GAATTCCTTCCCAATATCCCACCTAACCCTGCCCTCTGGCAGTGGGAAGCCATTCCCTGTGTCCTGTCCCTCCATCCCTTGTCCCAAGTCCCTCTCCAGCTCTCCTGGAGCCCCTCTAGGCCCTGGAGGGAACTCTCAGGTCTTGGATATGGGTATGGGTATGGATACGGATAAGGATACAACATCTCCCAGGTAGCTGCAGAGCCAGGAAGATGCTCCTATAACAAGACACCACCAAGCAAAGCAGAACAAAGTTCCTGCAGGGTTTTTTTTTTCTCCTCTGAGTGCTGCACAGCCCATAAATAGTGTTAAAATACAAGCAGCATCCTCTCCCTCCGTGCTCTCCTCCTCCGGCAGCAGCCGGCTCGCCGCTCTCCGGAGTTTGTTTGTTGCCCTCGGAGACACGGCTGACAAGCATCACAAGCTTTGAAAGTCAATTGCTCACTGGAGTTGAAAATGTGTTTTCAGGTATCTGGCTGATAGGTCCTCCTCGAGGAGGATGTGGCTGGAATGCCAAGTGAGGCGCTGCCGGATCCGGCCCCTCGGGCGGCGGGAAGGGGAGATTGCTCTGCCCGACGTGATAAAACGCTGCGGCTCGGAATGACCACAGGATCTGCAAAGTCCTTGTTCACTGAGGTGATAAGGGTGGAACAGTTTATATTTAAAAGCTCTATAAACTTTTGGCTCCTGGAGGAATGACTTTGGATGAAAATGGGTCATAGAGTCACAGAATCAGAGGGTGGTGGAGGTTGGAAGGGACCTTAAAGCCCATCCAGTGCCACCCCCTGCCATGGGCAGGGACACTCTCACCAGACCAAGTTGCTCCAAGCCCCGTCCAACCTGGCCTTGAACACTCCAGGGATGGGGCAGCCACAGCTTTTCTGGGCAACTTGTTCCACCAGCAAAGTCCAAGCATCTCCCTCAGGGGGACACACAGCCTGGGCTGCGGGAGCAGCAGCAGTGATGGAAGTCATGGCAGGAAAGGGATTCAGCTTTCCTGGGGATGTTGAGGGATCCCTGGCCCTGTCCCAATACCACCCTTGGCTCTGCCTTGGCCTTGGCACCGAGAGCCCAGCAGTGTTTTGGCTCCAGTGGGGTCCAGAGGTGTTGTGGTGCTCGGAGGAGGCACCTGGACGAGTTCCATCCCCTCTCCAGGGGATGCAGCCCCGGGCTCCGGGCACCTGGATGAAGCTTGTTCCGATGCTCCAGACCTGCCTGTGTCCTCTGTGTGGAGTTTGCAGAGCCCAGCCTGGATCACCATCACCCTCCTGCCTCTCCATCGGGAGCAGAGCCCGGAGATCCGGCGGCTCAGCCGAGCTGTGCCCGCGGCCGCTGCACCCGGGAGCGAGCGTTGGGGGGGAATATTGCAGCAAACCAGCCGAGCGTGTTTGATGTGGTTTAAATTAACCTCGATTGCTGTCTAATATTTTAAAAAGACACTTTTTATAACACGCGGGAATAATGTAGGAGAACTAATGTTCCCTCATGAAATGCCTTTCAGAATAATGATAAAAGTGCACTTTAATCTGCTGTGAGAAGTCTCCGTGAGGGAGAGACGTCACACGGACAGGTGGAATCGTGGAATAAATACAATAATTAATGAGAAGGAAGGATTTGCATCTTCTGATTTTTCCACAACACCTGCTCTTTTTTTTAATTTAATTTTATTTTTTTATTTTCCAAGCAGCTTTATTTTGTTTGCTGGGGGGTCAGGAGGACCCGGGGGTTCAGGATTCTAGTCGTTATGAAGTTACACTTTCAAAGATTGCAAAATGTCAGGGAAGCAGCGCATGGGAACTGAGTGCTCCATTAAGTTTTCCCTGTAAAATTAAGCACCTTTATTGCCTTAAATGAGAGTTACAGCCTAATGATGGACCGATGCAAATCTCCATCAGCGTCCCCGAGCCAAGGGCTGGTTCCCACTGCCGAGGGCAGGGAGGTGCTGCTGGAACAGGGAGCAGGGAACGGTCCCAGCCTGGTCCTTCCCTGCCCAGTGCCACATTCCGGTGGGAAGGAGCCCAGTCCTGTGGGAACAGGGAAATAAGGTGTGCCAGGAGTGGGGCAGGAGGGGTGCTGGCTGCTCCATGGGGCAGCAGTGTGATCCCTGGCTTGGGGGCCAAATCCTGCTCCTATGTCCCCATCCCAGCTTCCCACAGAGCCTTCACTGACCAGGATGGCTCCCACCTCACCCTAAGGAACGTGGTGGCTGCTGACACTGCCAGCAAGCTGTGCCCACACTGGTGTCACCCCCAAACACCTCCATCACCCCCAACCACCAGCAGCCCTGGAATGGTGTGGGGGAGCAGGGATGGAGGTGGCAGCAGAGGCCACCCCAGTCTTGGCTGCCAAAGAAGTGCTGCCAATGCTCCACTTCCCTGTGTCATTCTCCCCTCATCTTCCCCACTTACACACTCAATTTATAGGAATTTTGTGTCTTATTCCGACGCCGGGCGTGGGCTGAGCTCTCCTGTTTGCCACGTTTTGTTGGATCGTTAACACATCAGACAGGCACCCAAGGGAGCTGCAGTTCACATCCATCTCCCTGGCGCAGGTGCTGAGCCGGGAATTGTGGGTGGGATCAACCCAGAGAAACCTCTTCCCACATCCCAGCCACAGCAGCCGTGAGCCCATGGACCCCACGGAGCTCCGTGGGGAATGAGGAGCATTTCTATCCGACATCATTCCCCTGTTCATGGCTGTGCCACACATTGTGTGTGGAATTCCTGGTGTTATTATGGTCTCTGTTATCGGGCTGTCCAGGTGTGAATCTGCTGGAAACTCCTGAGCCCAGGATGAAGAGCAGTAGCTGCATTTCTCTGGTGGCTCTTGCTGGACGGGGTGTGTGTGGTGCTGCCCTCCCCTCCATGAGCTTTCCCACGGGTGTTTTCCATCGTGGTGGCACAAAGAGAGCACTTGCCGGGGGAGCTGCTGTGTCTGCAGCCTCCAAAGTATCCATAGATGCCTGTTTCCATGGGGCAAAGGTGGTTCAAGGAGAGCAGAGGGATGACAGGAGACACAGCTGGTCCTGTGGGTCTGTCAGGAGAGAGGGGAAGGGGACAGGAGATGGGACACAGCCAGGCCAGAGGATGCAGGTTGGTGTTTGCTTCCCAGGGGGAGATGGGACCTTTCACGGGCCCCAGGGATGAGCACCCCTGGACTGAGGGTCCCACCGAGGGTCCCACCTCTGCCTGTGAGCCCCCACCAGGCAGATGAGGGACCTGGGATGGGGCTGGGTACAGGGTGGAGGGGTCCCAGGTCCCAGGCAGAGTTCTCAAGTACCAGGTGGGGGTCCCAGGTCCTGAGCAGGAGTCCCAGGTCCCAGGTGGGGATCCCAAGTCCCAGGCAGGAGTTCCAGGTCTCAGTCAGGGGTCCCAGTGTGGCTTTCCCAGTGCACAGGAGCCCGTGGGCAGCACAAACCCGGCGTGGAGCAGAGCCCAGCCAGGCCCTGAGGGAGCTCACTAAATGTTTCGTTAACTCACCGGGTTACAAAAAACAGGAGAAAAAGGGAACAATAAAAAAGCCGAGTTTTCCTTGGCGGTGCTGCCGGGAAGTGCTGACAAAGCTGCTCCTGACAAAGCCCAGCGGGAGGGGGGAACTGTCTCTTTGCTCTGCCTGTCTCCCGCTGAACAAGGATCACTTTTAATGGGCTGAATACATACAACACACAGCTGACAACAAAGATGTTCGACTAACCTAACACGAGAGGGAAACAGCAACAGCACACAGTGAGTAATTAGAATCTAATTAATTTGCATTTCACAAGAGAGGCAGAGATGTCAGAGGGAAAAAAAATATTCCCCGAGATTAAAGGGCTGCTGGAGGAGAGCGAGGGGGTGAGTGGGAACACTCCCAGCGCCAGGACCGACACGCAGAGCCGGTCGGGATGGGCAGGATTAAACGGGAGCAGGTGGGGAGATGACAGGTCTGGGAGCTGCGGCCAACAAAGGTGTCTGCGGGTCAGCAGAACTGCGCCGAAAATACCCAAACTGCAACTTTCGCTGTGCAACAGCATCCCTGGCCTGGCAGGAGCCTTCCCCCCGCTGCTCCGCGGCCCTGCCAGAGGAAATGAAGGGAAAAAAAGCCCCAAGGTGACGGCGCGGGGAGAGGATCCAGCCCGGGAGCTGCGGGAAGGCGGCAGGCGTGGCCCAGAGCCCGGCACGGCCACAGCGGCCGCGGCCCCCTGGCCCGGGCAGCTCCTTCCCCAAATTAATGCTCGCAGTATGTTAATCTCTATGTTCAACACCCTATTTCCTAACGCTGGCTGTTCCCGTGAGGCAAAGCATCCCGGATCTACATAACATCAAGGGAAGATTTACAGCTCGTTTCCATAATGATGACACCAGGCAGAGGATTGTGCTGTCAGAGATGCTGGCGCAGCCACACGAGCCCTGGGGAGGGAAAATAACCCTCAGCCCCTGTAGTGCTCCGTGATTATAATCCCTGCCTGCAGCCCTGCCTGCAGCCCTGCCTGCAGCCCTGCCTCCCCACCCCATGGCTCCCCATGGCTCGGCTCCCTGGTGGGAGTGGGTGTGAAGGACAGGGAGGCACAGAGGGAAATTTGGGCAGTTCAGTTCCAACAGCCCCAGCAGGGGCTGCAGAGAGGTCCTGGAAATGAGGGTCTGCTGAGCCCCCAGACAGGAAGTTCCTTTGGATTTCATGGAATCCCAGAATGGGTTGGGTTGGAAGGGAACTTAAAGCCCATCCAGTCCCACCCCCTGCCATGGGCAGGGACACCTTCCACCAGCCCAGGTTGCTCCAAGCCCCGTCCAACCTGGCCTTGGACACTTCCAGGGATCCAGGGGCAGCCACAGCTTCTCTGGGAAACCTGTGCCAGGGCCTCACCACCCTCATAGCCAAGAATTCCTTCCCAATATTCCATCTCTCCCTGCCCTCTGGCAGTGGGAAGCCATTCCCTGTGTCCTGTCAGTCCCTCCCTTGTCCCCAGTCCCTCTCCAGCTCTCCTGGAGCCCCTTTAGGCCCTGGAAGGGGCTCTCAGGTCTCCCTGGATCCTTCTCTTCTCCAGGTGAACCCCCCAGCTCTCTCACATGTTGGGGATTTTGGGGCAGGAGGAGCAGGTGCTGCTCCTGACATTCCCTTATCTGAGCCAGGATAATCCATCCCAGCCAGAGATGCCTCCAGCCCAGCACTGCTGCTTTCAGACCCATTTCCTGGGCTCCCTTTGCTGTCACCGTCACAAGCCCCACGTCCCACACTGGGGAGGAACATCTGGCACATCTGCATGTGCGGTGGTTGCTGACAGGGGGCTCGGTCCCTGCTCCCCCCCCAGAACCAGCGAGGCAGGAGCAGGAGATGCAAACAAAACCCAAATGCAACCAAAATCAGATGCAAACAAAATGCAAATGTGAAACCTCGTGCAGGCAGCCGGGCCGGGGGAGGGGGGGCTGGACACGGGCAGAGGGTGGAGGGGGGTCCCCAGCCCAGCCCCCCACCCAGAGCAGCAGTGCTGGGGCCCGAGGGAGCAGCTGGAGAGGATGCAAATGGGGGGAATCACCCCGGGGAGAGCAGCTCCGGGGTCACGGCGCTGCGGGGGCAGGGAGGGGAAAGCCCAGGAAGGCAGAGGAGGAGCTGGGGGAGCAGCTCTCCAAACCCAGCCTCGTGTTTCCTTCCCACAGCGAGGGGCTCCAGCTCCCAGGGCCCCTCCTGCCCCACCTCGGGGCAGCTCCAAGGTTGTCTTCCCTTTTCTTCCAACAGTGCCTTGCCCTCCAATTTCAGCTCGTGTTTGCAGCACCAAATCAGCTCTGTAAACACGCCGAGGGGGGATTTATTTTTTCTTGAAAGCAAAATAACTAAACAGCACATCAGAGGGAAGGCATTTAACTCAGTCGGCTCCTTTCCTTTGTTGGGAATCAAAGTGATGATGATTTGAGCAGGTTTCTTCCCGGCAGCCCACCCACCCCACGGTGGAGAACGTGCTGCAAACGCTGCCTGAGCTACGTCAGCTTGCCCAGAGACCAGATTTTGGGGTGAGCGGGGAAGGCTCCCACTTTAATTGCCATTCCCACATCCCAGAGGAATTGCAGGCAGTGCAGTGCAGTGGGGATGCACATCCCCTGCTCGGGTGCTGTTGGGAGGGATGCAGAGCCCAGGGATGTCCCACCCAGGCAGTGGAGCATCCCCAGCAGCACAGCCCAGGCCGTTTTTAAGGCTCCATCCTTTCTTTCCTCCTCGGGCAAAACAAAACAACCCCAAACCCAACCCCTCCCGCTGAAGCCAAAGCTGTTGAGCACACAAACACCCTCTCTGCCCTATCTGGAGTCCCCAGGCACTCAGCCACGGGGAGCCAGCCCATAATTTGCACTGGGAGCTCTGCAGCAGCGTTGCCACAATGTGATGAGGTCGTGAGTCATCCAACCACTGAAACCATCTAACCAGGGCCTGGATCACTCACAGCCTGGGAAAGGAACACACAGGCACTCAGGGTTTGGGGGAACTCTTTTCCCTGAGGAGAGCTGGAAGCTGGTGGGATCCCTGGCACGGAAAAGCCAAGGCACGGAGCCTCCTGTCCTGAGGAGGCCAGTGCCTCCTGCCCCAGGGGCATCAGAGGGGCTGCAGAGGGGCAGCTCTCCCCTGACAGCCCTGCAAACAGCAAACACATCCCCTTCCCTGGGAAAAAGGGGACGTGCATCTCTTGGAAATACCACATTCAAAAAAAAAATGTGTGGATGTGGCTTTTGGGGACAGGGTTTAGGGCTGAGCGTGGCAGTGCTGGGGGGATGGTTGGGTTCAATGGTCTTAGAGGGCTTTTCCAACCTTAATTATTCCATGATTTGGCAGGGAGAGGTGAGGGCTTGCTGTGGGTTTGCAGTGGTGCTTTGCTGGTGGCTCCTGCCTCGGGAAGGTGATGTGGGGACAGGCTCAAGCCCTGCAAACACTGGTGTGAGCACAGCGCTGGGCAGCGTGTCCTGGGGACAGGTGAGTGGTCAGGCATCACCCCCAGGACGTGCCAGGCTCCAAACCAGCTCCCCAGAACGCTGCCAGAGCTGGCAGCTGGAAAACACGGCAGAGAAATCCCCCTGCCAGTCCCGACCCAATTACAGCCCCGTCCTTCAGGGACGTTTGCAAACAAACCGAAGAAGATGAAGGATTGATAGATTGATTTGATGCCGGGCTCTCCTGACAGCGCGAGCCCGGCTGTGATCCATCCCCTCCTCTGGGAGCCGGGGCTGATGTAATTCATTGTTCCCATCTCACTTGTCACCGTTCTGCTCCGGAGCAATCAGGGCTCAGAACTCGGGGAAGTTCCCAACCCGCCGCTGTGATTCGCCCGCAGATTTGTCACTTCACTAAAGACCCAAATTACCCCCGTTTAGGAAGCGGATCCGCTGCTCGAACCTGCACGAGCTGCTGCCGCCGCTGCCGGGATTAGGGATTCACGGCGGTAATTATGTTAATGTTGATGTGCAGACGGATAACTGGCAGCAAGGAGTTGTGCTGAAACGTCTATTTATAGTTCAGGGGGAAAAAAAAATAAACCTCGTCGTCTCCAGGCAAACATATGGGCTCTGTGGCAGACGGATTCAGCGGGAGATGGACGGGAAAGGGGAGAAGGGAATGGGATGGGAGCCGGGCAAGTCCCGGGAGCCGGTGCCCGCTCAGCTGATCCCGGGGTGGGAGAGGGTGGATTTTGGGATGGGTTTCTCAGTGGCACCCCGTGCCCCTGAGGGATGGGCTGAGCATCCTGCCCCAAGCTCAGGCTGCCAACCAGCCTTGCTCTGCCCCCAAACCAGCCCCTGGGATGTGGGAAGGCAGCTGGGAGTCGAGAGCTTGTGTAGAGGACACCAAGGATGTCCCAGAGATCTGGGATACCCTGAACCCACGGGCACCTTAATCACTCCTACCTGGGGGGACGTGGCAGCCTGAGGGGAGGGTCACCAGCCCTTGGGCTTCCCCCGAGGTCACGGGAGAGCGCTGGGATGTCCCAGAGTCCACTGAACCCACTGGCCTCGTAATCACCCCCTGAGGAGAAGGTCACCACCCCTCAGGCTGCCCCACGGCCACGAGCCCCTCACTGAGCACCCCCAGGCTCCACCAGACACCCCTCGTGCCAGGCAGTGCCTCCATCCCGTGGAAACACCAGAGAAGCCACCCAGGGGTCAGCAGTGCCCCCACTGTGTTGCAGACACCCCCAAAATCCAGCCCTGGCACAGGAGATCCTGTACCCGGCTCCCAGCAGGACGCAAGATTTAAATTTGGAGCTGTGTGCTGAATTCCAGGGGGCCGTCAGTCAGCTCTGGGAGGTGTTTGGAGCAGACAGATTTACACAAACACTCCCAGCTCAGCAGACCCAGCTCGGTGTCTTTTATACCAGGAGAGGAGGGAATAAATCACCGCTCCCTTCCTCCCCCTCCCACCACGCGGAAATTTCTCCCAGACATCTTTCAAGCAGGATCACAGAGAGTTTTATTTACCGTGGAATAAAAACAAAAGCCCCAAAGCACCAGGGGATTGTGCCTGGCCATGAGTGACGGGCCACCCCGGCAGGCTCTGCAAGGAGGAGGGAGCCTCCCACATCCAGCACACCAATCCAGCCCCACAGCACCACGGAACCCTGGAATAATTGGGTTGGAAGCAATATTAAAGCTCAGCTCATTCCACCCCCTGCCATGGGCAGGGACATCTACCACTAGCCCAGGTTGCCCCAAGCCCCGTCCAGCCTGGCCTTGGACACTTCCAGGGATCCAGGAGCAGCCACAGCTTCTCTGGG